CTCGACAGTCTATACTCTCCCGCATGATTTGGAACGTAATTCCTGTCTCTTATACACATCTAGATGTGTATAAGAGACAGCACACACACACACACACACACAGACACAAACCCTAGCGATGGTGCCTAGCCCTATTGACTACTCTCTCTCTCTGTCTCGTGAGGTGTCACTCAATGCATGACCGCACAAATACGCAGCAGCGCTTCGGCAACAAGCCCGAATGGAAATTGTGCTGATGTCATCTTGCTGTTCCCAATCTTGGACTTCGGTCCAGTGCTGGGGCCCTGGCTTGTTGGCCGTGGTTGCCACTCGACTTTCCAGAACGTACTGGACCTTCCAGGACTGAGCTGCTAACCTTGAACGGTACCCACAGCTCAACCCTCTAGCCTAACAACCTACCGGCTGACGTGTATAGACGGCCTATCGAACCCTAAGGTTGCTATCGCATTACTGGGCCTGCTGGGTTGATCATAATACATGGGACTTGGGACTTCGGTAATCAAGGTCTGATTGAGTGTGACGAGATACGTACCTGGTGCATGAAAGAGGTCGGCTATGGAGTTGACAGTCATGTACATTGGTCTTCGAGAGTCGAAGTGAGCCTGTTGCGTGAACCAGGTGTAGGTAGGACAGTCGGGCAGAGTAGGTTGGACGCTGGGCGCCAGACAGAGAGGAGCGACTTTGGATACTGTGTTGGTGTGGCCTACGGGCTTGAACATTGGCTCATTACTTCATTGTATTGCTCTATATGGATGGTTTCTCGGTGCATTTTGAACTCTCTGCTTGGATACGACTACCTGGACATCTGTGTGATTTCGCAACTTGGTTTTCTGTGTATCGTTCGCACTCATATCACTTGAACAACCATCAATATCAGGTGGGGTCATCGAGCTGCGTGAAGGGTAAGGCTTATCCCATGTGATGTTTCGACATAAAATCAAGCCCTTGTAAAGGAGAAAAAACAGGTGCTCGAATTTTACAAAAGGGCGATTGGTTCCTTAGCTAACTATACATACACTCCAATTCTCCAGGCACTGCAGGCAGCAATTTCTGAGAATACCTTTCTCTGGTACACTTCCCGTCGTGACATCCGTTAAAAATTGGAACGATACACAGAAAAGATTAGCATGGCCCCTGCACAAGGATGACACGCATAAATCGAGAAATGGTCCAAATCAGTGTTGCACCCGCCGACCGTCGGCGCCCGATCCGTTGGCCGCCGACCCGCCGACCGGTCGGTCGGTCGGCGCCGACATGTCGGCTGCAGTCGGGGTGCCGCATTTTTCTGCGGAGGCGGCACACACTGCAAAGGCCCCGTTTTGGGGGTCTGGGCCGGTCAGGGGGTGGTCGGCCGTTCGCCGCACGGCTTGGGAGGCCGCCGACCTGTCGGCACCGACGTTCCCACGGCCGGTGAGGCTTTTAAGACTGTGGCTGCCCA